GGGTTGAGTGCAAATAAATAGGGAAATAATTTTTTTAAGGGTGTAGAATTAGATGACTTTATAATGACAGACTAAAGCCCCCAATTTGATTTATAGTTTTAGGTTTTGATACGAGATGTTAGCCCCTTGGTGGGGGGAGAAGAGGGAACTCTAGAGTGAGAGTTAGTATTTTTCCTACCTAACCGATCTTCAAGACTATTCGAACTATAGATTATCCAATGTTCTTTATAGCATCTCTAGTAAGGGTAAAGAATATTATTGCTCATATTTGACACAACACATTTAACATACTTCCACAACAGAATTTTTATAATTATTAATGATTCTTGATAAGAAAAAAGATATTTTACTTATATAGCCTTCATCTTGCAAATACTTAGTTAAGTTAATTAGTTGTTAACTTTATTTTCATAAAACAAAATTACAAAAAAAATCAAATTTTCATTCATATTTTAACATCTTAAGTTTAAGTAAGAATATTTCGCCATGTAGATTTTTGTCATCTAAATTTTTTAGTTTTTTTAAGTACATATTGCAGTCTTTCCTATGGGTTTGATATTCGGGGCATAATAAAAAAGTACTATATTACTTGATAACGATACATATACTTGTGTAGTATCTCATATTTAAATATTATAATTGTATTCTTATTTGTTTTATAGTGGAAAATTTACCTAGCTTTTGCTTTGGATCAAGTTTTTGACTTTGTTGTAAATTAAGAATAAATATTAAAGTAATTAAACATATAATCGCATCCATCGCATTTTACATCTATATAAAAAGTCGGGATCAACCATCTTATCTATTCATGACAAAGTGTATATTACATTTAAAAAATTTAAATATTGGCATTTTTTACATAATATGAATGATTTATGTGGTTTAAATGTAAGAAAATAAAATTTATTTGTTACATTTATAAATAGATAGGAAACTATGTGGTATGTGTGTAAATGTCTTCTATTTTTTAAAATTTTTGTTGAAATTTAGAATAATGCAGAATACGTCATTATTTCATTGATATGAACGTGGGTATAAATAACCATAACAAGAATCCTATAATAAGAAAAATAATAAAATAAAATAAAATGATATGAAAGGAAAGATATATCACGTGATAGCTCCAATAATAAATTCATATTAATTATAATTATTAGGAGATATAGAGGAGATATAGAAAATAACATAAAATAGAAAAACAAATAATTCCTAATCCAAGGAAATAAATATAAAATAGGAGAATAAATGAATCTAGCATGCCAAAATACAATTGAATCTAGCAACACTTTGTCAATTCAATTACAATAGCCTATCACATTTCTTCTATATTATAAGCTATACTAGAATAAAAAATATCTCTTAGTTTCACTCTTATGCTAAATTCCAGTTTCTATTTTATGGGTCTTGAATGAAGAGTACAGGCTCCACTTGAGAAAAAAACAAAAACAAATGGATGATGTTATATTTAACCTGTACGAATTAAACGTGAGAAGTTTATTGAAGTCGGTCCAAATAGATCTCTCTTCATTCCAATAGTATTTATGTTCATCGTATCACATTTGAACAACACGACTCAAAATAGATTGGAATTGCTATTATCAGTAAGACATCCACTTGATCATAATAATCAATAAGACCAACTTCTGTGGTATCGACAAGACCATAACTTTGATTTGTTTTATTATCATCATAAGATTTAATATAATATTTATTCTCATTTATGTAAAATTACTTATATCTCGGCGCAACATTGTTAGAAGTGCCTTAATTTCATTAGATAATCAAAAATTATTGGCACTCTTAATCTCAAGAGAATGAAAAGCTTCATAAAAGGCATATTTATGTTTAAAGTAATGATAAGGACAATAAGAAAACTTATTTGTTGATTGAAGCATGTTGACCTCATTTTTTTGTCAACTACTCATTCACTAAAAATTTTTAAGACAAATTTGAAATAAATCACATAAAATTGACATAAAACATAATTATCTTCAATCAGATCCAAAAATTGGACCGAAATGTAGCCTAATGAGGGAATATTCCAAAATTATCATTTTTATGCCCTGAAATTATCATTTTCATATACAATCATTGTAGTGTTTGAGATTTTATGCTATAAACAATATTAAGTTCATCATTAATGAATAAATAACATGTAATAAAATTTGATGACTATTAGATAACTTCTTACAAAAAAAAAATGGCGAGTTTTCATATGTGAAAATACATGAAAATTGCTCCTAAAAATTAAAAAGTTTTTAATGAAGAGTCATTTTACAAAACAAATTTTGCAAATGCATCTAAATTATTGAAAATTTTCAAATAAGCCCCTTCGTACCCAAATAAGACTTCGCTTTGGGGCCAATCTAACCTACAATAATTTGGATCATAATTACGATTAACTTGTACTCGAAATAAACTCAAATAAACTCTAAACTTAGAATATAGTCAAACTGAGCTAAAAACATTAAAATTG